CCCCTAACGCAATCAAGCAGCTGACGCAGCTGAGGCGCCGAGGTGTGGGTGACACTGCTCTGGTCCTGCCCGACGGGCTTCCAATCTGTCAGAAGCATCTCCAAGAATCGGTGCATTCGGTGCAGATTTGTCCTGACGCTGTCGGACCTGGAAGATGACAAAGGGCTAGATTCCGGTAATGTCCAAACCTGCGAATTACCCATTGCCCACTAACCTTTGAGGGCTTGCCTCCTAACTACAAAACAAGCAAACGATTGCCAACTGCAGTCTGGACCTCAGCACAACCAGGAGACTGCACAGCAGGGGCTTCAGCTGTCCTGACCATGATTCCGTTTGCTTACAGACTAGACTCAAAGCCACTTAGTTCCTGCCTTCGTTGGTCTGCTTTCAAGCCTGATTCTAGCACACTTTGAGCTATGCAACCTTCTGAGCTCAGCAAGACATGGCCTGGTACGTTTGTCAGGTCAAAGCGGCCACCGATCAGTGCCAGCCCAATCTCCTCCACGCTGCGCCGCTCACCTTGAACGTGTGCCTGCCTCTACCTGGCTCTGATTGTTAGCACTGTTAGAGCTACATGAGCTATGAGGCTATGCTGCTCTGCTGAAACTACTGCTTTCCGCCTAGTTCCACGCGGACCAGTTGGTAAAGCTTCTCCTTCAGTCACGCCATTATTGGTGGCAACAATGCCCCAAAGCGTTAATGCCGGGCCTCCTTTGGAGTCAAGATGCCGTTGCTGGACTTCTGCCCAAGCCTGGCAACACACCACCGCACATAGGCATGCATCGTGGGCGCAAGCTCAGAAACTGGCAAATCTTCAAGGTCTGCCAGGTCGGATGTAAGCAAGTCATAAATGTCCTGTGGCAAGTTGTTGCCTCAAGACTCGTCTTTCACACGCACGCCCGGTCCTCCACATTTGGCAATCTCGCAGAGCCAACTGCAGAAGCCTCTAGGCAGCACTGCATAGAGCATCAATTGCACTTTCGAAATCTGTTCCTGGAGTTCTCTCCACCAAAGCATAAAGATTGAGGCAGCGGACTCTCTGCCAGCCGGATTCAGAGGACGAAGAACCCGGTGAGCAAGATCTAGGCCTTGTCAGCCCGTAGTTAGGTCCAATGCACGTGAGCTGTTCCCGCAATCCTTTTTCCTGGAATGATTGAGAATGCAGTGTCCCCTGCGTACGCAGAAAGTCTAAAATTTGAAGTCGGCCTACTAATAAAATCACGTTCTTTTTAAAGTTGCTGGAATTGCAGAAAGCTTATACCAAAAAATCGTGTTTTTCCATTTCCGTCTAATCACAGATGGCAAAACAACAATTCCTGAAACGTAGCCGCCAACAATCTCTGCTGCTGGCCTATCGTTTTCCTAGCGCTACACTGGAACAACGAGTCCCATCATCCTTTTCTAGTCTTTCTGTATGAACTACAGATCTTGTATTCTGGACATGCAAGTATTTGGTTTCAAAACGAAAGAGTTGCCAACGCGAAGCCGCGAAGCCTCCAGTCGAATGTAAAGACAGTGAAGACCAAAAATCATGAAGAAAGCATGAACGTGTGTATGAATGGCGAGTCGGGCGGTCCCTGCTCTGCCTGAAATGGTTTTTAAGCCCAGTCGGATGCTCTCGGGCTTCAAGACAGGAAGACCAGCGCTTTCATGAAGAGATCGACATCTTCTCAGAAAGTGTAAAGCCAAAATCAGAAGAAGGTTGAACTTCCTGTGTCCAGTTCTTGAGTGATTTGGTCTCCACAACACGGACAAGCACAACCGGCATAGAGAAGATGGAATCATGAAGAACATCATCCTGATGCCGCGCCGTGCCTGCCAACGAAAACAATCGATGACCAGACATAACAAGCCGCATGATTGAGAATTTTTGAAGTACTCCAGGACCAAAACTCATTAATCCTGTGCATGCCCTGCGAACCTGTGAGGGTCTAAGATCAGAACGAGTCTTCCACTCTGTGTCTTCGCCTGCCTTTAACAGGCATATGCACTTGCACATTAAATTGTACACGCTGCTGGCTCCTGAAGGCACAGCACCGCGTCCGGGAGCCAGAAAGGGAAGGACCTCAACTTGCTTTTGCATGCGTGGACGCCATTGCGGCACTGTTTTCTAAGCCGGATACCACATCCCATCGTCCCATGGCAACGTTGCATGTTCTGAATCTCTAGCCATGCATGGCAAACATCCAAACCAGATGATGCTGTTACGTTTGAGTATCCATCATAATTTGTCACCTTGCTGCTGCCTATGGATGCAAGCAGTTGAAAAATGGGTACAAGGAAAAGGCTTTCGTACTTTTCTCGCATCGCTTCAGCCGATGGCGTTATAACTTGCCTGTAATGATTTGGAAATGTTGCATATTGAAACGCTTGGAGCAAACGCGTCAACAGGATCACTGGCATGACGCTGGCGTCACATGCAAAGCGAACCCCGGCCACAAGGTCTCGAGTTGCTTTGTTTCCTAGCGAGAGGTCTGATATGCTGCATAGGTCCTACGTTGCGAGTATCCGTGCCTGTCGTTGCCATTTGGCTCCTCACCCTCTGGCCAGGCCCAGTCCACTTTGACATCAAGAGGATGCTCACCAAAAACTTTGGTGTTTTCGAAGCAGACCGTGATGTGGCGATACTTCATCCGCGCATCCTTCACCCTTCCACGGTCTTTCTGGCCATGACGTCCCACAACAATAACAGGCTCACCCTCCACAAAGAACTTCTCGGGCAAGGCCTTTCGATCTTTGGCAATGTAAAGCTTCCGGTGTTGGTTGGCACCGCAGGAGACGTGGGGTAGACTGAGCTCGTCAGCCATTGTGTGGATGAGCTTTCGCCGATAAGATGGAATGCTTACTGGCAACGTCCACACCTTAGTGCGTTCATCAAATGTTCCTTCAGGAAGCAGATCTGCGCTGACATCTCCAGCAAGCACCTGCTGCATTGATGCCTGCATCTTGGCCATGAATACACAATCCTGGCTGTACAAATCCTGTAGTGTTTGGGGAACCCGCTGCTGGCAGTGCTCCAATAATCGGATCAGCTCACCTGCAATCCAAAACCGGCCTTCTGGCAGAAATGCATACACCCTTCCTTCCTTCTGTCCAGGACGACAAGTGCGGCCAATGCAATTCGCGTATTCACCCATGCTTGCTGGAAAGTCGAAGAGAATCACCGCAAGTGATAACGGCGAGCAACCAGCATCATGAAAGTCCAAGCCTCTGCCAGCTAAGAACAACGTTGAAATCAGCACGCGGGCGCGTTTCTGCACAAAGTCTTTGTACGACGTTTGTGGCACTTCATGCCCAGATTGATGGTCAAGAAGCGCTATGGGGCGGACCCCATGGGGGCTGACGCTTGCAACTGCGTCGCGGAGAGCAGAATTGGCAGCCAAATGTTCAAGTTGTGGTTTGAGACAGAGTAGCAGCAAGGATTCATGCTCCTTCAAGTCCTCACGAACCCATCGCGTAAGTTCCGCTAGCTTTGCCTGATATCCACCGTCAAATGAACCAGGGAAAAGCTTCACGTCTTGAGAAATGTTGGGAACTTTCGGATTGACTTGGATCTTCACGAGCTGGTCACCGCAAAGATCAACTGCGGCTCTCTCTGCTTCTGGTGGAAGTGTTGCTGAGAAAAGAAGAAGCTGCCGGTCCTTGCGCAGTAGTCGCAACAATTCCCGGATCTGTGTCAACCAGGTCCCTGCAGCAAGCATGTGGTCCGCCTCATCCAACACGACGTAGCTCATGCGCTTCGCACTGATCCAACATTTCTTTGTCATGAGCTCCCACAAGCGCCCTGGCGTCGCCACTAAAATTTCTTGCCATCTCCCAAAGTCAGGAGCACCTTTAAGAGGAGTCTGTGAATCTGCAGCTACACCCCCAAAGATCACCCCTGCTCGGATGAGATCCTCGCCTTTGGTGCGGCTGCAAAATTGCTGTGCCACACTGTGTGTCTGCGCAGCTAGTTCACGTGTGGGTTCAAGAAAGAGGGCTATGGGCCCATCACTGATTGTAAGGGCAGGCTGGGCCATGATATGTACCAAAGCAGGCAGGAGGAATGCCAACGTCTTGCCAGATCCAGTCGGGGCCACAGCAATCACGTCCGCCCCTGCCAGCGCACAAGGCCATGCCTGTGCTTGCACAGAAAAAGGCAGCGCCTCAGTGGTAAACAACTCCATTGCGACTTCCTCAACAAAAGAAGGGAAGCTGGTTTCCTGGAATGTTTGGAAAGGCTTTGGAGCTGGCCGTCCCCTAACACTGCTGACGACAATGCCTCTCAACTTCCGAAACTCGTCCACTTCCTCCTGAGTCCTTCGTCCCAAAACAGGGTGTGCCTCCTCCAGGTTTCCCCAACAGAATTGCTCACAGTGCAGGGCTGGATCTGGATGATTCAGATAAAAGTCTTTGTACAACTTAGGTAACTCGTGGCTCAGCCAATCTCCATCCAGCACTCGCTGAGGAAGGGTTCGTTGAGCGGGCATCTCCAATGCTTGGAGTTCCTGACATTGTGTAATAACAGCGTGCAGTGGCAGCCACTTAGAAGAGTCGTGTCAAACAACTCGCGCCTTCGCCTCTGTAGCACCACTGAGATCCATGCTGTGAACCGGGCAAGCCCATATCCATGCGAGATATGCTATACTCGACCTGCACTACTTCCCATAATGAATTGCTGGGTTCTGCCAAGTCTCAACTGGCTTACTGCAAGAACGTCATCAACTACTTGTGTTTGCAGATATTGAACAATGGTCATGACTGGACGTGTCATCCTGTGGCAAAGGACGGGCGCTTCCACCGCTTATGTGTCTGCATCTGCTGCTACTGCCTGCAGCTCGCAAACCTGACATGACAGCCTGCAACGCTCGAATCCATTTTGAGTTGAAGCGAAGAGTTCATTAAGTGCATTGACATTAAGGCCTGTACATGAAGTTCTGAAGGCGTCTTCCAATTTGCTTTTGTGACTTGATCATCATCTGATCTCATTTCTAAATCAGAAGACGCGAGCAGTGCACGTCTCAGAAAACGGTCTTCAAGACCTTGAACAGACAGGCAGGCTTTATGACAGGTGGCTTCGACTTCAACCACGAAGAGAATAGTGACCCTGCAGGAAGACGGAAATCTCATCGCTGGAAAGGCGCCGACTTGCCGCAGGCCACAAGAGAATGCCGAAAATCCGCAGAATCCCAAAACATCCCCAAAAAGCAGTCCATGCTGGCAGACCTCGTCCACAGCCTGACGCCTCAGGTCCGAGACATCGTCAGGGCCTCGGGGTTGAAAGGTGGCATGTGCAAATGGGCCATGTAAATGCAAGCAATGCAATGACGACGACATTTCAGGACGAGATCTGCTTTACGAGCACTTAAGGTGAAAGGATCGAGCGGACTGATGCGGACTGTTGGATCTGAACGCATCAGAGGCACTCATGAGATGCCAATCAGAAGCAGCCTGCGCAGCCGAAATCGCAAGTCATGGTTCATAGCCTAGAGAAGCATTCTGAGAGGGGTGCCTTGAGTGCTCTGAGGGCATCATCAGTGCCCAGTCTGCGTGAAAGTGCAGCAGCAGAGTTTGGTCCTAGGCATGATGATCAAACTGTCTCACGGCATCAGGCGATGACACCTCCAAACGTCTCCAGTTGATAATTGTCGATGGGCACCGGTAACATGATGTAAACAGAGTAGGCAGAGGGCCATGTTGCTGCAGTACTGCCCGACAAGTTGCCGCATCACCTGCTCTGAAATGAAACTGTCTGCATCGCGCTCCAGCATGTTCCATCTGCAATAAGACTCTTGAATTCATTGAAAAAACAATGATTAGCTGTGATTAGCTTTGTGCCCTCCCGTGGCAGAAGTTACTGATCTGCCGCCATGTTGCTTGGAAGATTCAAGAATAACGTGCACCAGAACAAAGGAGTGAACCCTTCTGAACTCCATCAACTGAGAAACTCCTGCACTCCATCTGTCTCGCGCTGCACTGTACAAAGTCTTTGCAGCTGCGCCTGCGACCGCAGCTTGCACTAATGCCTGGCGATACTGAATGGCCATCCTTTCACTATGCTTAAATGTTGGCCTGGCCTCACGAATGACGGCCACAGCAAAAGCTTGGCGAGCCTAGCTCTACGCAGGCAATCAAAGGAATTTGTTCCAGATGGCGGCACTCAGACTGCTACAAATGACTCAACTGCAAGAGGTCGAAGAAGCTGTTGAAGCGGACCTAAGTTGCTTTCCTAGGCCAGGAACGCGTATCATACATTTTCTCATCTATACGGCCTATGCTCCCGTGGTGCACAGCCCGGTAAACACAGCCTGCGCAATTGCTGTCCATCTTCTGGGCTTACAAAAACAATCACACATATGCCTGCGAAATCCACCTCTTCATTCGCCGTCTTTAAAGGTCCCGCGGCCTGGCAACATACAGGCGGACAGAGAAGTTTGTGACAAAACCCAAATTAGTTGGGCACCTTCGTGCCAAACAAAACAGCTGTGCCTGTCTACAGTGGCGGGCTGAAATCAAAATCCTGCAATTGTTCGCAGCGAACGACTACCGCCGATGTTGGCTGCTGCCCAGTACCCGTCGGTTTGGTATGATGCTCAAGATAAAAGGCAAGCGTAAAACCTCAGTCATGGTGAGCTAAGAATCAAAGGTTGTAGGGACTCGGTTCGAGGCTTTCTTGTTTTGGAATACTAGTTTAGTGCTTGAGCAGCTCGGGGTGCTCAAGGCTTAGGAGTTCACTTGTGGATTTTGGGTTCTGAGTCGAGAGGAAACTGGATTTTCGGGGCATGACCGGGCTGCATAGTCTACAAAATATGCACGAACTCAACCGAGTCAGAGTTGAAGATTGCCACATTGCCATCCACACGTCTAAAGTTCGCTGAACACCTGTGAACCCTTGACTGCACAGCTTTAAAAACAAACCTGCATGCTTAAAGCTACAGCAAAGTCATCATCCTTCCATGCCGCTGGCCTGAGTTCAACAAAAGATCACATAGCAAGATGCCAGCATGTCTCCCTAAGACAGCTAGCAGCTAGCGCGGCCGTGAGGTGTTGTATCTGATGGCATGCCACACATCACAGATTGCTTCCAGCTTTGTGTTCCAATCTCGTTGCATGGCAGCTTTAAGACATGCTGGATTTGCACCACCTCATCAGTCCATCTCACGGAAGTCTATCCTGGCAACTGCCGGCCTCCACTAGCAATTTCACCAGTCCGAAACAACCGCGCTGCATTTCCTCAAAAAGCCAGGGCATGTGGAGCTCGGGTTTCGTCACAAGCAATCGCCAAGGAACGCGATTCTAAGTTGGAGGCACCTAGAACTTGGGATCTTGTTGACCTGTCGGTCACGGGCACTTCGAGAGCAGCTCCCTAGCTTCCACAGGAAGGCTACAGTCAGCCACGTGGGGCCTGTCCGTACAGCTTCCGGCATGATCCTCAGGCCATGGTAGCTGCAGCATCTGCAACTGTAAAGAAGAAAATCTGCTTTGTCTCAAGTCTCGCGCATCCAGCAGCTGCCTCCATTCTACGGACAGCGCACGGAGCTGCCACCAGGTCTGGTGTGAGGCAAAGCTGGAAGACGGGATGCTGAGTTAATCGCACCCAGTGAACCTAGGGCTCGGACTCTTGGAGGCAGGAGTCGGAGGACCAAGAACCTATGTTGCAGTTCTGAAGGCTCCAACTTCAAAAGGCAGCCTGCAAAATGCTGACACTGGCACGCTGCAGTTCCATCATGCATGGCCAGCTTCAATAGAGGTGCCCGCCACTCCTTTTACAATCACATCAGCTCGGCAACAACAGGTAAAGCTATCGATCATGGCTGCGCGCCTCCATTGCAAGTTTCCAGGAGGATAATGCCGTTTGCACTAGTCACGAGCCAAGTCCTGTTGCTACTGTAGAGCCAGAACTGATGAGTTTTGTCTTACGAGCCAGAGCATGTGGCGGCTGAAGCAAGGCATGCTAGCTTTCTTTCAGAATCTCTGTGATGATTGCTCTGTATGTGGTGCTCATGCTGTCAACTCTTCTGGGCATCATGACCTTCTGTGAGCTTACAGAGCTTTCCATTTGCTGGCGCTGCAGCTGTCTCTAAGCCGAATACCAACCAAGAACAATGCAGTGCACTCTCAATAGCCCGAATCCAGCTGGCAGATGCATAGCAGAGCTGTGAAATTTCTAGGAGCAAATGCGCTGAACTGGAGTGCTCAGGACTCACAACATTGGTAAGGAGGCCGAAGCTCTTTTTGTCAAGCTAAGGCTTGGCAGCTGAAAGGCCCTGGACCAGGCGCTGCCAAACAACACAGCCACACTTAAGAAACAAGCACCACACATCACCACACGCACCATCCGGAAGCGTGATTTTTTCCCAGTCCGGCGGTAAGGTCTCGACCTCCCAAGTATCCACTCAAGGACCCCAGAAACACGTGACAAGCGGGGTTGTTTCACGCTGAAGCACGCATTCGAGCAAAATCTTGAGGATGCTCTACACATGAGTGTGACGACCGTCTATGCGAGAATGCCATTTTGGGAGTTGAAATGCGCAGATACTCTACATGACAAAATGTGTCAACGCAACTCTGAGCCTGAATGCGGGGGGCGCTTTACAGGAGACGACGAATTCCAGCCAAAATGTGAGGATTCGCCAGACGACAGCATGATTCTTAGCAGACCGCACGTCAGACCCTCCATGTTCCCTGCGTAGCTTCACGAGCAGTGCTGGAGTACAGGAAGAAACTCCTCTCAACTGCCCCAGGCATTTTCTGAAGAAGCCTTACTTTCAACATGACTCCACAGGACGTCTAATGAATGCACGAACCAGTGAAGACTCATCAGAAGATCAAGTCATACAGAATCATATTTGAAGTGATGCTGCTGTTACATGGCACCATTCTTCAAAAAGGAAGGGTTGGAGAAGCACAGCAGCCTCACACTTGCACAACATGGGTTGAACATGTCTCAAATCTCATACGAAATCAAGTTTGTAGTGATGCAAATCTTCAGCACACTGCGCAGAGGATGGGGAGGTGCAAACCCAAATCTTTGCCAACCGCTGCGGAAGGCAACAACCATTGAAGACTCATCAGAGAAATAATGCACATTCATACCTAATGCCACTCCTCAAAAAAGGACTGGGGGTTGGGGGCACACAGACCGCCACATGCCCATGTAGACACCACGGACACACGCGGCAGAGTTTGAAGATTCATCAGAGATCAAATTGGGGACTCATGCTGCTTTTGAAGACGGCAGGAGACGACCGCCAAGCTGGACCATCAACCGCCCAACCGATCGGAAAGAAAGCCAGCCTCCAGACGTTCGTTGACCAGACAATCCAGCCAGAGCTCGGGAAACAAGCATAACAATGCCCTTGGAAAAGTCAGAAGTCTCATAAATCTTGATCGTCGGCTTGAAAAAACAATAGCCTCCAACAGTCTCTCTCAACTTGCCACATGCATCCTTTGCACAGCTGCATGTTTTCTGACATCTAGAAGCCCTGATGCCAGGAAGCCAGCAAGCAGACAATTCGAGAATTATTCTTAAGGTCATTCCATTTGCATACATTTGTATTGAGTCCGTGATAAGTTTTCACTCACGGGCAGCTGCTCTCTTCTGCGGTGAAACATGCACTTCCTGAGATGTCCAGCTAGCTGTGCCTCGGTTCGCAGATCTCGGCCTGTGCTTGCCTGCCGTGAAGACCTTCTGAGGCGCGTGCGATCGGATGCAGATTCCCATGATACACCCATAGACTGTCGGGATGCAGGGTGATCAGCACGGAACGGACATTGGCAAGAATGTGTGATTTTGGTTACTGCCCCCCTTCAGTAACAGTTGGATAATAAGTATAATATGGTTATATATAGCCCTTAATAGGACCCCTAATATACACTGTTACTGGGTGGGGGCAGTACCCAAGTGTGATTGCAAACTGCCAACCCTTGCCACATTGCAGATAATGCTTGGGGAAAACATACCGGTACTGTGCTAATTGCATCCCTCTCCCTGCTAATGCATGAGCTCACCGCAGTGTACCCGTCTGCAAGGACGAAGAACACTGTGACTGTAACAACACCTGTGAAGTCGAATGCTTGTTACAGTGTCAAGAGCCACGCCAGTTCACCGCATCCAAGGCATCAGCAAGGTTTGCATTGCGCCAGAGCAGAACCACTTTTCGGGCTCCACACCTCATGTACAGGAAGGACTGGTTTGCTCTGCACATCTGAAAGATTTTGAAATAATATCCACATGCGGAGCACTGACAGGCAAGGCCAGAACCAGCACAGATCTCCTCTAAGCGACGACCCTGGACAGAAAAAGTGCACACAGCGTTGCGGCACCTCGCAGTAAGGGGGCCTCATCTTCGTCGTACCCTCCGGAGCTATCACTCTCGAACGCGAATATATTGCCTGCTTCGTCCAGAATTTCTCGAGATCCCACTTGGACCTTGAGCATGCTTGAAGAGTTTGAAGAGCTGCAAACATGGTTCAAACTTTAGTAACGTAGTGCCTCCCCGCCTCCGCCTCGGAGGCGGCACAGACCGGCAAAGAAAACGCAGCCAGTGACAACAGCAAGAAGTGCCTTTGCCCAAGGCAAACGGCTGATGTGATGCGTGTCAGAAACACTTGCCTGCAGCTACCCATGCGCATGCTTCTCGGTCCCACCATAATGTGTGATCACATGATCACAGGTATTGCTCCTGTCTGCTCGATCTCTTCAAATGCCTTTTCAACTTGATTTGGTACAGCTAGTGCACGAGTTATGCCGCTGCTAAGCAGCCTGAGCCAGTCTTCAATATTTTATGGTGGACAACCTTGTTGCTGCTCACAGCCAATGAGGAAAGCTGAAGCGTCTCCCATTTTTGTGACATGCGGCTCCCACCTTTTATCCTGGCACTGGCTCCAAGAAGCATCTATCAACACCGATGGCCGTGCCATCAATCAGAACCCATGCCTGGCAAGCAACAGGCTCCTTGACATTCTGTGTGCTGCATCACAGCCCTGATGCCTCATATAGGCCTGAAATGAATGGAAGCAAGCGGCCTCTTGATTTTCGTGTTGAAGACGAAGCCAGCGAACTCCTCAGCTCCATGCAAAAAGGCAGATTTGTCGTAACATCACCTGCGGCCTTCAACTCGAACTCCATCTCCTTCGAGAATCTCACCTTGGCCCTTCTGACCGAGTTTATCCTCAGAAAGCTTTCCGCAGCGTCAACTGAGAAAAGAAAACTTGGCTGTCGTGCCTTGGCGGTTTGTCTTGGATCAGCCTTTGGCATCAGGTAGACAAGAGGCTCCAGGACCACCCAATGCTTACCTTTGTTGACAGTTGACAGCAAGCCACACTGTCTGAAGCGCAGCTTGGTTTGCCGAGCCACATTTGTCGAGCGCGTCGTCACCCCAACTTGTAGCTTTTACCTTTTCAGAAGATCCACAGAATTATTCAAAAACATGTGACTTCTGCCCAAGTGACGCCCTCCACCCGCAGCGCTGCAGATCCTAAGCCACAAGGATGATCATTGGTCATCTGCCGTAGCTTGAACTCTTGCGAGAATGCCGCTCTCTGTGTGCCGGATTGTGTTGCTCAGCTTCAAAAAGATGACATAAGATGACACATGAGTTCATTTCTTTTGCTGTCATTTCTCGTGTTCAGGCCATGGCCTTGGCTCACCAGGACCAGGATGCAGAGCGCTTCTGCTGTACACAAAGTCACTGTTTTTCAGGCATCTCCGGCTACTGATGTCACGATAGTCGCATGGTCAAGAAAAGAAACGGCCCATGTCGAACAAAATACAGTCCCTAGAAACATTGAAACCTGTGTTTTTCTTGCTTTTGTTTTCCGATCAGCTTGCATATCCGCAGCTGTTGCAGGGCGTAATAAGAAGTAAGCGGACTCCTGGCAGCAACCATCACTTCATGGCCGTAATGAGGCCATCAGCAACTACACCATCCCAGCAGACCTGCAACTGAGCTTGCGGCTCATCGGAGCTGATGATCCATGTCGCTCACTAAAGGAAGAAGTTGAAGTCACTGATGCATGAAAGTATGATGCGAGCTGAAATCATCAAAAGCACCTGTTCCTGAATCTCTCGTGTTTGCGACGGTTGGGCAGTCTAGTGGCTGATCTGTCTCCAACTACAAAAATCGCCTTGAATGCCTTGACAACGTTCTGCGGTGCAAGCTGCTGAGATATTTAGAAACAAACAAAGTTCTGCTTTCCTGACCGAAAGACAACGGCCTTTTTCTGCCCGCTCCATGAGCATTGCAGCATAACACTCATTCCACACTTCAAGCCGAGCGCCTGCCAAGGTCGCGTGCAGGTCCACAATCACAGCCCCTGCGTGCGGCACCAGCAGACTAAATGACTAAACGACTGGAACACAGAGACACGTGATTTGCTTTCAACATTCCAATCGTAAACAGCATGCGAGGCTCCTGAGTGACAGGTCATCTGCCTGCTTTTGCTTACACCTGCCACAGCGTGATTTTTCAGCAAGCCTCTGCATCAAGCATCCACAAGCCAAAAACTATCCAAGGACGCCGCAGCTTGCAGTACTGGTCTTGCACCTGGTGCGGCTTGATTTCATCAATCTGCCGAGGAGACTTTACGACACAAACCCTTAAGTTAAGCAAACCGATGATTGGCAAAATGAGATCAACAGAAACCAGCAAGCCTCATTGACAGCAAGACATTGCTGGCCTGGGCCCATGGCAAGTTGAACTGCGCTCTTGTGCTGGGATGACATAGCCGCACATAGGTTGGTCTACAGACAATTGTTCCTGAAGACATACGAAATTCAGGGTGATTTCTTTTGGTACCGTGCTGACAGGAGAACTGAAGGTGCCAACGAATCCGCAATGTCATGGATCTGCTTGACAGGATCAGCCCTTCATGAACAGCTCACACTAAGCGGCTGCGCTTCACATGCCATCTTCAAGTTAAAGGCTGCTTGCTGTCATCGGCTGTACTCATGCTCGGAAGCTTTTGGCAGCCCTGCTCCAAAGATTCGCCGACACAGAGCTTGGCACTCATGGGCTGTTGATCCATTTCTTTCGTCTTGGAGATGAATGCTTAACCAGCACAGCTCTTTTTTCCACAGCCATCAAGGCATTCTTGAGTCTAGAGTTTTGAGCATGCTGTGTTGATCGTGATACGAGATGTTTCAGCTGGACGTGCAGCATCTCTCCCACCAAGCTGGGCTGTTGAAAGACCTCATTCGCACTGACGTCCAAGGTTACTTGTTGTTTGCGCTATGTGTTGAGTCTTCCAGGGCGGACTCCTGCCAGGAGTCAGGTTGCTGCTCTGTTCGCGCGGGGCCTTGGTTGACTTTCCTCGAGTACCAGATTCTGCAATGTTTTGTGCTTTGCGAAGTCCTTAGAAATCAGAAGGCTTACTGAGGGCAAAGAGCTTACCACATCCTCGAAAATACCACTCCTTCAGGGCCCAGTCATCTTGATCCGCAATCTAACTTTCGTCGGATCATCTTCATGGCTGCTGGGGCGCAGCCTGCATGCTTTGACGATGCCTGTGGATTTCTTCTGCGCTGCTCCTGGGATTGAAAAGTGTGATCGACAGCCTGCCATCCTGAGGCGAGGTACTGCTACTACGTAAGTTCCGGGGGCGACAGCTCATCCCAGCGTTGAACTTCAGGGCCCAGGCACTGGAACATGCTGGAGGTCTGTAAGGATGGTTCATTGCACTTACATACGCATCCTGCAGTCAGTTATGTGGCAACTAGTCAGACCCCTTGACAACATGTGAAGCTAACACACAACAAGCGGCTGATAGATTTCATGTCAACGGAACATGGGAGTTGCGGACAAATTAGTTGAGCTAGACAAACAGACATCTCATGCTATGCTTTGCCCTCGCACCGCGTTCTCATGCAGCACTGAATAGGCTGGCCAATAAGTACCAGTATGCCGCTATGCAAACTGCTGACTGGAAACTAAAGCCATTGCATGGGGATTGAAGAATCAGGGTTGTCAAACCAGCCGCTGCTAAAACCAACATGCGTGACATCACACCTGAAGCGAATAAGCTGAACCATGCGTCCTTCCAGCCAGGCGAGATAAGCTATCTTTCTTCGACTAAGTTTATGCCAACATGCGCAAAATAACCAGAAATTGTCACAAACACAGCCCCATGATCCATCCCAAGCTTGAATTTGACTTGGGCTTGCAGCTGAAAAAAAAAAAAAAAAAAACAAGTAAGCATCCTCAGCAACGGTGGCAGGTGCGGTAAAAACCACGATGGACAGTGAATGCTCGCAGACGAAACTTTCGGATGGCATCGGCGTGAAAAAACAAAACAAGGGTTAAGATCAAAAAAAGTGTCTGTCGTTGATGTTGTCGTTGATGTCAATCGGAAGTTTTCGCTGGGCCAGAATGCGTTTTTGGCAAACCCGGGCATCAAACTTGTTGCTTCAGATTGCTTTGCAGATCTCAGCGTTGCAACAATGCAAAACAAAGAAAACAAATGATCACCTGAATGAACTCCGAGCAAGAGGCACACCCAGCCACCAGCTTGCAGCGCTCGTCTATCGGACAACTGGCCAACAAGAAGAGCTGATGATTGACGTAACATCTGTAGAAGAGTTCTCCCTCGCTGAAAACATGCCCGCTTGCCATGAGTTTGATGTCTGATGTCGACATGATGGCAATCTTGGCAAAAACACATTCAAACACAGCACAAGCGCGGAAGGCCCCGAATCGGACCTATCAGCTTTCGGCCATGAGCACCACCGCAGAAGCTGGTGCAGCAACAAAAGCCCACGTTGGGAGCTCCTCCAAACAAACTTGGCCCCAAACACGCTTCAACAACAACGTGGCCACACACGGAATTTAGTCCTTCTCTGGATCACGCTGTGGATAATCTTCAACTTCGTCGACGGGCCTCGTATCGTCATGTCGTCGAACTGTGGAACCCACGTAACCTACAAAACTGGCATTTGCTCAGAAACATGAGGAAACCGGCGCAGACACCAAATTATACACACAAAACAATCGAAAAACGAAACAAAGGCATGCAGGCGGCGCACGCCCAGCTTCACCCGTTTGGTATGTTTTACTATGGAGGGAATAGTTGTGTTCTGCAAGCTACTATCCAGCCCCTAGACACTAAATCATCATATCATCCCAACTTCCATGTCATGCTCCATTCCTTTTTCAGACGATCATTACTCCGTTTGTTGAAGGTGACATCCCTAAATCCAACCGCCAACGACATGCCTGCCTAGGTGGGAGGTACCAAGAACATACAAGCAATACGACAATACGATGTATCTGAGCGGCACCCGTACCAGAATCAAAGTGGCCTTCCCATAGTTCTGGACACATGCAAATACAAGACATTACAGGACTAAACTTTAAAAACCTTTTGTGACAATGAAGCACATGGGTAACCTTTCAGTTCACGTGGTGGCCATAATGAAAGCTACGGGTCTTACATCGATCAGCGTCAAGCGTCAAAATTCCAAGCCAAGCTCTTTGCCCATGCGCATCGGCATTTCGCCTTGCACAAGACACAAACAAAACAACTTCGAAAAGGCAATCTGTAAACTAGCCTGGCCTGACATGTACTGATACAGGGAAACGAAGCGAAACGGTAGATCTTCGCAACCGCAGTCCTTGCCAAAACATTGAACAATCTGTGATTTGCGGATGTGGATGCGCTGCATGATGCCCAGTTCTCAGGAGAATTCCCTCTATAACGCCATTCTATCTGTTGATCTGCTTAACCCCACAATATTGAGCCAAAACACCCAACGCCTTTGACAACCGTTATGGTAGGTCGGCCTAACACACAAAACGCTTTTCAGCCTGCGGCACAATAGTGGCGTCGAATCGCCAGCATGGCACATTACTAGATCATGCTTGCTCCACACCTGGATCAGATAAAGTGCTTCAGAAACGGATGTAAGCATCTGGAAAGGCAGTTGAAACCAGGCTTCCTGGAACTTAGAGGACGAGCTAGCACCTCAGCTGATGTAGGGGTTCCGGTGATCATCATCGGGCATTTGAGCGTGCAGATGCCTGGCTCCCATGTTGCCATTTGATCTTTGGCATGGACATCAGAACCGTTTCCACTTGAGCGATGTGTGCATTGCTTGATTTACTGCACCCCAATTCACATGCGAGAAAAGGAATCTGTGCACTTTGTTTTGCATCCGGAGCGTTGTTTTCACGGTGAGTGATGCATGTGACTGCACGACGCTTTTCGCAGTTGTGGTATTCTAGTTTGGATTTGGAAATATGTTATCTGGCTGGTTACAGCAATCCCAAACTTTGAGCTTCGAATAAATGAACCATTTTCCGTGCCGTTCCGCTGAATTGCATGTGCAGACATATAGCTTACGCCGATCAAGAAAATCAATTGGACAAGTGATGGGTTAGCTGAGCTAGTTTTTAAACAAGGTTCTGGGGGCATTGTAATCCATGGGCGTTTTCCCGTTTGGCTGCTTTAGGCCTGCACCTTCCGCATGGCCAGCTTGGGGGCACCAGCATTCGCCTCAACCGCTGCACTGGCCTCTTGGGCCAACGCATTGGAAACAACTGTTCAGCCTCTTCGAAGGTTTGTTGAAGGTCCCTTCCGGCCAATCCCTTCCTGCCCTGCAACCGCTGCTTGCTGCATTGGCCCCTTGAAGTGCGCCATGAGGCGCAGAGGGAGGCTCTGTCGCGCATCGGCCGAGTAAGCCAAAGAATATTTCCTTCCACAACATTATAAAAGTTTCATCACCCCGTCGAATCACTCAATCAGCTCAGCAGACACACTGTGCGGAAAACCCAACTTGAAACCCTCGATCTCCCTGACCTCGGATGGTCAGACATGGAGCTGCCCTAGCATGGATCATTCCCCTTACTGGCTGGCTGGCTGGCTGGCTGGCTGGCTGGCTGGGTGGGTGGGTGGGTGGGTGGGTGGGTGGGTGGGTGGGCGGATGGGTGGGCGGGTGGGTGGGTGGGCGGGTGGGCGGGTAGGAGATTTTTTTCTGTCTGACGCTTTGTGAGCCACAACTAATCGGATGCACATATACTCGTGAAATGGCATGCAGCATGTTAAACACTCACGGAACAATTTTCAAAGTCGAATCACGAAAGTTAATGAGTTGAACATGATTTCGGAATGAAACATGAAACCCGTCCCCCAACAAGCGGGGGGTCGTTTATAACTTTGGTGGCAAGGTTCAGTCCGCCCGCGGAAAACTGGTTCCCACAAAGTTATAAATTATATTGGCTTCATCACTCCATCAAATAATATGAAAAAATTCTCAATCGAATCACTCAATCAATTCAGCAGACACACAGTGCAGAGAACCCAGTTTGAGATGTTCGAACTTCTTTTTCGCGCGAGAAGCGGACAAAGGGAAGAATCCGTGTTTGCATCGCCCACAAATCCACAGCAAAAAGAGGTGCAATCTCCCCGACCTCGGATGGTCAGACACGGAGCTGCACTAGCATGGATCATCCCCCCTCACTCCTTACGCGGAGGGTTGTCAAGCAGCTCCTTGAGTTCAGGAAGGTCTTCGAAGACCTCAACATTAATGGCTTGCATGAGACGCAGGGCGAGCTTGCAATCCCCTGTCGAAGGCTCATCAGCTATGTTACCATGGCTGGCCACGCGCTCAAGCCAGTATAGGGCTGAAATGTCAGACATGTCGAACGCACGAATCAACAGGTTCATTGTCAGGCATCCGCTCCCGCCACGAATGGCGCTATTTCGGGACGAATGGCTATCTGTGAACACAACAATCCGCCGACTTACAGGAATGGATTTCCACATCCACCTGATGACCACCAGAGCATACAGTCCAATCTGGCAAATCAGCTGAGGATCCTCGTCCTCTTTGGCCAACTGCAAACGCGACAATGATTGGAAGCCGTCGCATCTGAGTATTCAGGGTGGAGTTGCATTGAGAACCTCTTTAGCATGAGCGGCAACCTCACGCAACTTAGAAAAGCCTTCGGGGCCTCGCCGATTGAGGAAAGCAAGCAGATCATAACAAACATGCTTCAAGATGTGGCCTGAAAAGAAACCAGAGGCAAAGTTCAAAAGGACATGAGGCACTTGGATCCTATGTTGAGCCAGGGCCTCGGTGAGTCAACCTTGTCAAACTCCGCAATGATTCTCTCTGCACGTCCCGCTATGTTGGCTAAAGTGACGCGGCCTTCTTGCACCTGAGACATGTCAAAGGACATGCCCAAAACGGGCTGAAAGCCAGTCCTGTTGCATCGCTTTGAGCATGATCCCAGCCCAACAGGACGCGCGAGCCTGCGTTCGCCGAACTGTTAATCCGGGACATCAATGGAAAGTCGTCGTAAAACACAGCAGCGGGGATCTTAAGGCACTTACCTATTAGGAACCACAAGCTCCGCGAGATGCGGTTAAACCCAAAGACTGCAGCAACTGAGCCGAACATGAGCGAGTTCGGGATGTAATACATGGGGACACCGTTCGGGCTTTTGAAATATACACCACACACAGGTCACGATGGCTCGGGAACCACGCCACCTGTTTGTAAGCTTTGCTTAGGTTGAGGCACTTACCGACCCATCGCCCAAAACCTTTCTTCTGATGGCCCTGAGTCACTCTCTGAACAATCTCAAGCATTAAGGATGACACATAGTCAGACCCCTGCAAATGAAGGCGTATCGAACTGGTAAATGCCATGTTGGTCTGGCTCTTTGCCGCGTCCCCCATGGGACGCAATTTTTCTTCTGCACCTTGTACCAGAATTAAACCGCCTTAAAATCCCCCGTTCGGTATGGCCAAAAATCGAAAAGATTCTTCTTCGCTACACAGGTCCTCTGGAAAGTCCCTTGAAACTTCGTCATTCGAAACGTCGATCAAGCTCGGCATGAGCGGCCGTGGCATCTCCGAAGCGGCGATCTCTGACACAAGTGCTTGGCGTCTGGCTTTCGCCGTCTCACGAAGATCCTCCTCAACCAAAGTGGCAGGCGCTAGTTTGCGGTCGTAACACTTTGGATGGGGTTCACTGCCAATTACCTTCACGCCTTGCGTCATCAAGCGAAACACATCGGGGTCATCAAACCCCTCCTGGCCCATGAGGGCCTTCCATGCTAGCAGGGTTTTCCCTTTGACCACTTTTTGAACCGATGGCTCCAAACTCTGGTGAAGGGCAAGCTCAGCCTTTGCAGAAGTTTGCTGATCAGGAGCTTGAGCTTCATCAAGGTAAGCCTGCGCTCCACCTCAAGCTGGCGTGGGTCTGCCTACATGACAAAGTGTAGGGCTTCAAGAGTAACCTTCTCAATCGCATGATGAGTATCAACGGGGTGCTCCAGCTTGTCAGCTTCTTCCACACAGGATTCTAAGGTTATTTGAAAAATGCGCCGTGAGAAACTTCATAACGAATATATATTCTCAAGTGAAAAGTATATATCAAAGTTTGCCTTCACTCACTTACTGAATATAATCACAGAGTGGAAGATGCAAATCGGACCCCGAACTTTTTCACAGCAGTGGGGCAAATCGTAGCGTCTGGCATTTTCCCCAGGGTTTTTTGCTTTGCTGCACTCCACGTCGATCTCGGCGTGTGAGAAGGACTAAATTCGCCCATTGGCGAACGGCCAATCAGGTTGGCTCCTAGCTATGCACTTAGCAGCGAAGTGCATTTTAGTTCACAGGCGCTGCACATTGCATGATTTCGCGCCGTACCAAAAACACAACATACACATCAGGAGCAACACTAGCAAAGTTGCGTAACACTTTAGAGCGCTTGTCATCATCACAATAATGCAGGTACCCACTAACATGATCTACCAGGAGAGCTCTGTAGTGACCTTGTTGGATGCTACTTCCTAGGTGAATCGCTAACGCACAAACAATGTAGGAATCCATGTGGCTCTGCAACTGACCGTCAAAGATAGGTACTTCCACGGGCCTCCGGAAATCATGACCCATCTTTCTGCAGCCTGCCATCTCGGTAATGAAATCGATTCAACCTGATAGCCAGCCATTGAGATGCAGACAGGAGCCCATGTGGGAACGCATGTCCCCGCCATTCGTTCACCACAGCCTGCAGATCCCAATGTCCAGTTAAGGGAACATCCATGGAAATTATATGTTCACAGCGGCCACCATCTTGTACTTGGTATATTTCATGTTCTTGGAAGCGCGTCTCCCAACTCCCATGAAAAGGTGACACCTGGCAGCGTTGCATAGCATGTTCAAAGAAATCACGGATATCATGTTGTGCCCCACCATGTCGCCACCCTTGCAAAATGTGATTCCATGGCAACATCTGCATGAGATTACAAGCCTTGCGCTGTGCCCCAAGGGCACGCCAAGTGTTGTACCCCTGGCCCATGTCTTGTACCTGGAGTCTGGAATTTGCCATGAGCCACAGGATGGGTTGTACCAGCGTATTCATGTAACAGAAATTTCCACTGCTGCGCAAGACAAGGTGCATTACACAGTTGACGCAAGAGGTCGGACACATGCTTCGCCAGGCCGTGATGTTGTGTTCGTTCTGGTCGTAGACGACTGCGAAGCACCTTCAAGACCACGCTGTCTCCGAGCATGGTCAGGCCTCAATGAAACTTCTCTGCGGCTTTGTCCCCCCTCAGTGCCACTTGGATTGTAAAGCAGACAGCTTCGGTCAGCCAATCCGCTTTGATTGCCATCGACCTGGCCGTCTCGTCCTGAACAGTCCGTTTGACCCTGGCCGCCAGTTCCTGCAGGATGCATTCCATCATCAACACATGAAGTGGCTTCTTCAACAGGTGTGGTGTCTGCTCCTTGATGCGCTTCCATTCCACACTCACTCCGAACATGACCGGCAGTATGCCTCCTTGTTCCGTCCCCACGAACCAAGTGAATCCGCAGTCCTGAAGAATGAC